CTTGCTGTCTCGGCGGCTTCTCGTACTCCACGGACACGTCCTCGAACACTATCTCACCTAAAAAAAAATCAATTTTGTAATTGATCGTCATTTTCCCACAAAAAAATTCAAATCGAATTTTTTACCTTTACTCGGCCACTTGTCAAAATCTAAATTAGGATTTTCGGCCTTCAATAACTTTTCGTCGATATCCACAGGATGTTCCGCCGGCAGGTTTGTGTATTCCAATATTCTTTCCACCTTTAGGAATTAATTCAAAATTAATAGATTACATTAAATATATTAAAACTAGTGTACCCAGGCAAAAAGAGCTCACCGACGTCATCTGGTTCTCCACCTCCGCGGTCTGGCGCATGCCGTACTGACACATGCCCACCAGACCTATCACCTGCGTGATGGCCAGCCCCACGTTGCCGCCCATCGTGTCTGCGACCACACCGCACATACACCACACCATACTCCACTCCACTCTAATGATCTTCTACAAATAAGTAAAAAGAGCACAAGATTCCATGGCCACATAACTTACCGTTGCCGACGAACAAGAAGAAACTGAAAGTGACGAAGGCGAGGTAGAGGCAGCAGACCATGTCCATCCAGAAGCCGAAGGCGCGGTTGGTGTTGAGCACGAGGGTCCAGGCGCAGCTGTGCAGGTCCTGCAGCTTGTCGAACTCGCGCGCCAGCGTCCTCTGCCGCGCGCCGCACGACCTGATCGTCGTCAGCCCCGACACCGTCGCCGCCGCCTGGTTCAGGCTCTGGCTGCGGGCTGCACACACACGTCTGTTATCTGTCCAAAGAAAATACTTAAACCTGCAAATTTTGTCCCAACTCACCGATAGCCTCGATTCTCTTAAGCTCCCGACTGGTGTTGAGGAAAAGGTTCCTCAGCAGATGTAGAAGGAAAGCCACCACCGCGGTCGGCAGAAGCAGCCACCAGTTCACCAGGCACACCACCACCAGGATGGAGACCACTTCCAAGAAGAACTGCCAACAGAAACCAGGTCAGAATTCCAATAAAACTACCTCAAGCTAATAGTTTACATGACCCTGACTCACCCCGAGGCAGTCGACCAGCGCGACCGGCAGCAGGGTGTCCACCTGCCCCATGTCCTTGGAGAAGCGGTTGAGGATGCGGCCCGAGGGGTTGTGGTGGAAGAACCACATAGGGGCATTGGTTACTCCTCTGCAAACAAAGGTATCTTGAAAGTAGATAAATTGTTAAGATAACAATGTTCTTTAATATTGGTAAATCCCTCACCTGAACATGTTATCGTGCAGCGTGATGGAGGCCTTGATGCAGGTGTTGTAGAAGACTATCAGCTTGTTGCCGGTGAAGAAGATGCAGATGGCGATGAGGCTGGCGTAGATGTACACGCACTCGTTGCGCGTCAGGTGGAAGTAATTACCCGGTATGTCCTGGAACTCTAGAAAATAAAGAGTTAATACATAGCAAGTCAAACAGATAACAAGTCTTTTAAGGGTCAAAGTAGCAGTTTACCTGGAGGCGCGGCGGCCGAGGAGGCGTTCGTGTTATTCATTCTCACAGAATTGTACGCACTGTTCTTTTCTTCCAAATTAACCCTGAAATTTAGTACAAATATTTAAATTTTTCACTTAATTGTTGATATTAAAACAGAAAAACTACAAAATCGGAAGTCATCTGTATTCCACTTTCTTCTTCTCTTCTAAAATCATTTACTGGCTGGTTGTTACAACGTCATCAATGTCTCCAATGAAGGACTCGTATCCTACCCTAATAGCTGGCTTCTTGAATTTGATTTTGTAAGTACCAATAGCACTGAAAACTGACCATTCTTTCAGCCAGACGTCGCATGAGGAGTAGAAGACCTGTGCCAGCAGGAACAGCGCGAACAGCAGCAGCATGGAGGCGACGCTGCCGCCGCTCTTGATGTACGCCAGGTACACGCTGCTCGACACCGAACCCTTGTTCTGGCTCTCACCTGACGAGGAACGAATGACTGAATGAGATTTTAAAAATCACTCTTAAACAGCATAATTCAATAAATGGATTGTTACATTCTTTTTCTCTTCCCTTATTGAATATTTCAATAAATAAAAGATAGAAAGAATGAAACAGTTTTCATTTAACTTCATCGCACTGAATCATTCATTCGTTCTTGAATGATGCTAATTTCCTACTGATCTAAGGCAGTAAACACTGTACCTTCATACTTGGGGTCCATGTGGTTGTCGAGGTCCATATTGAAGGAGAGCTGCGACGCCTCCGACATCGACCTTTGCGACCGCAACTTGTGGATGTTGTCCTGATAAACCATTTACCATTATTTAAACATTATGTGGATTTTTAATCAACAGTTTTAAATCAACTACTACTAAATTTAGACAGTTACTACATTTTCATACATTAAGAGCGAGCGCACACCATTGACTAAACTATCGCACAACTGTTGTGCGATTGTCGACAGTCGATTGTTTCGCAGCTAATTCAACTGTTTTGTTGCATAACTTCATACTGACAGTGTGAGCACCTTCATATAAGATCATAGGAATCAAAGGGCGACTAACCAGTTGTGCGCGCGCTCTTGTTTCTTCAAGGTTATACCAAATGCTAAATTTACATATACGACTATTTAAACAACATACTGAATAATCCAAATATATATATATATATAAAACATAAACCGACAATTAATTAAACTAAACTTAATAAATTACTAAATGATAAATGTTTTACGTTTTTACTAATATCCACTTGCTCGACTATAGCGGTGGTAGGGAACACCTAAAATGTTAAACAAATAATCATTCACTACGCCATTCATTCATTCAATTCAATAAGTTAGTTTGAAATTGTCACGTTAAGTTGTCCGTCTCTATTTAATCAAAGAAAATGTAAAGGAAGACAATTAATACGTGCTTCAGTATCAGAGTTTTTGGATACCACTTACAATGCTATCATGCTTCTCGTAACCAGTCTTCTGCTTCTGCTTCTGTTCTTCGACTCGCTCTCCCATCTCTTTGAGCTTCTCAAACTCTGGTACTCCCGACTTCAGTTCTTGGTATGTGCCTTGTGCGACTATCTGTTTCACACAACCGTATATATATTTAAAAATTAAATTAATTGAATGAAAGAAAACTATAGATATTTGTACTTGTAGTGTACTTATTTACATATTTATTTATCTATCTATTTATTACACTACATTTATTTATTTATGATATTACATTCACACATCACATTCATAACACACAGCATTACGCACGCAAAACACACCACATATATATTAACATACAAATATTATTATAACACGTACAAACAAACACGCACACTCCACATTTTTATATATAATTTCAACACGCTGCAGAGCGCCGCCCGCGGCGCGCACGCACAACGTGCAAAATGCAAGAGTCATGCACTGCGCCGCGCCGGCCGGCCAACAGTCGCCTCGCGCTGCTACACTGTGCTGACACCTCGCTCGTTTGCCCTCTCGCCCGCCATTTTGTTTACGTGTTCTCTTTGTTTATATTGTTTTCGTGTACGTTTTAACTTGTATTCGTGTACGTGAAACAATAAACTGTTTTATTATTATATAGTGGTTTATTTCACTGCTCGGTGAAACTACATCCTCAAATACCGCTAAATACTTTTTGTACAAATTTTGTTTTTATCTAAAATAATTGTTTTTAATGACTTATAGAATAGTGCAGTTTGTCGCATTTGTTGGTGTGACATCGATTACAAGCTGAAACAACATCATATCGCTGTCTCGCTCACTCCTATGGAGAGTGCGTGTACGTACCGTGCCGTCGCGCATGACGCACACGTTGTCCGCGTGGCGCGCGAACTGCACGTGGTGCGTCACCAGCACCACCGCGCGCTCGCGCAGGAACCCGCGCACGCACTCCTCGTAGATCGCCTGCGCCACCTACACACCGACAAAACCTAATACATTTGTATAAATAGTTACAGCTGAAGTATTTGTTAGCTTGTAGTAGTGACCTTGGCATCGACGGCCGCCAGCGGGTCGTCCAGCAGGTAGAGGTCCGCCTGCTGGTAGACGCAGCGCGCCAGCGACACGCGCGCCCGCTGCCCGCCCGACAGCGTGGACCCTGCCACACAAATGTAACACTGCTACAATCTACAGCTAATACAATATAATTATATAATCTAATAGGAGTATTTGAATGTAATATCTAAGAGAAAAACTAAACAGAATTGCATTTCTGATAACGAAAAAATGATTTTCAAAATTACTGTCTGTCCACAAGCCGTGTTTGTTCCGGATAGTCTGTGAAACGACTGAGCCGATTTTGATGAGGTCTTTACTGGATATAACTGACAATCGTGGGCGGTGGGTGGACTTTTTTTTAATTCTGTGCTGACGAAGTCGCGGGTGACAGGTAGTATTTATGTTGGAACACGAAACTTAAAGTGATTATCCACCAATTTTATATTGAAATTATGAAAAAGAGAACGCACTGCAAAGAATGAAAATGAATGACCTTCTAAACTACATTTTAGAATGAATAAGCAATATTAGAGGCAGTCGTGCAATGTATTCCTAACCTCTCTCTCCGACGACTGTCTTGTCTCCATGCGGCAAGATGTCGAGGTCGCTCTTCAGCTGGCAGCACTTGATGACCTGCTTGTACCGCCGCAGGTCCAGCTCCTGACCAAACAGGATGTTCTGCCGCACCTGGAACATCACCACAGATATCATTATTAGCACACTGTTAATAAGCACGTTTATTTTTATGTGGGCTGTATACAGGTAAATTTGTAATGGCCTAAAATCTAAACAAGTGAACCTATTTTGACAAAATGAGATGTCATTTTGTTCGTCTTCTTTTTCCGAGTGTCATAAGCACTATAGTCGAAAAGGTTTCAAGTCATTTAAGAAGCAAATTGTGTTATAGATTTTATCGCTGTTGTACACACAGATGCGTCAAAGAGCCAGGGTTCCTGTGCGGCGTAGGCAACGTTGGCGCGCACGTGCAGCGAGCCCGCGCTGGGCACCAGCTCGCGCAGTATGGCCTGCAGCAGTGTGGACTTGCCCGCGCCCACCACGCCCACCACTGTCGTCAGGCTCTCCGGCTTTATCTGTACCATACAACGTAAGTGGTCAATACAGAATACCGGGATTCTCACCTCAAGATGGTTGGTTAAATAGTCTGTGCTAAGCAAGAAGATTTAGGAAACACGTACCAGAAGATTATATACCACTTGTTTGTGTATTTTGGAATAATTTTAAACATAAACTGTTAAAATACTAGAAAATTGAAATTTTACTTGGCTTTACTTTTGGACCTACAACATCTTTAACTCATCATGAGCTTAAGTTAACAAGTAGGATAAGTAGAGCAATTGAAAAGGCCATATTCTACAAAAATAAGTATTTTGAAACTCCAAACATATTTCCCTTACATTTAAATTAATATCAGCGAGGGCGAGCACTTTGCCATCCACCGCCTCATCTTCCACATTCCTCCAGTGGGCCGTGTAGTCCTGGAAGCTCACCAGCACATTGGCCTTCAGACGCTCCAGGTTTGATTCTGACTTTATGTACGTTTGCCCACTGCAATTTTAAACAAAAAAGCCATATATATCTAGTATAAAGTTTCGTGAAATTTAAATGTCTTAAAACAAGATCTAAGCATGAAAAGAAATAAACACCATGGATTAAAATACATATTACTAGCTCTTTTAAAACATTGTAATGTATCAAAAGCGATAAAAAACTAACCCATTCCCAATCTTCTCAAAGACTCCGTTACTATGAGCAGGAGTTTTACTCTCTTCTATATTTATCAGATTAACATTATCCTGATTGTCAACTTCTGGCAGCAGAAGGAACTCCTGCATCCTCTTCACGCTGACGTACGCCTCCAAGGTGAACGTGATAGCCAGCGGCAGGAAGTCGACCAGAGTATACTTGAGGATGTCGTAGTAGGAGAAGATGACGAACACCTTGGAGGCGGTGAGCTCGTTTTGGAAGGAGAGGAAAGAGATGATGCTGAGGAAGATGGCCACTTTCGTGTTCAGCTTGACGCAGGATATCATCACCGCACGCAGCCAGGACATCTTCTTTATTACATTCATCTCTTTTCTGTGGAAGAATAACTTAAATATGAAAAGACTGATGTGATATTGTTTTAACAAGAAACGACCAGGTGAATTATGTGTGCGATGTTTTCTGTGTATACGTACTTCCTAGCCTGCCCTATGATCCTGACGAAGGCGTTCTCCCAGGCGTACATCTTGATGGACTCGATGCTCTGTATCACCTCGTTCATCAGCCGGATGCGGTTATCTGTCCGCACGGCCGTCTGCCGCCGCAGCTTGCTGGATATCTTGCCTAGGTAACCTGCGAATAGGAAAAGAGAAGGAGGGACCTAGAAATCTTGTTCTTCGGAACGGAACTCGGAAAATGTCCGTGTATGCCAATTAAAATCTTAGCGCACAATCTTACCTTGTAAAGGTATAAACAGCAATAAGAAGGAGACTCCGATAAGCGTGGCGACGCCTATCTGCCGGTACATAAGGTAGATGATGAGGACGCTCTCTATGGGCGTGCGCACCAGGTCCACCATAAAGAGACTGGCCATATCGAAACGCTGTGCATCCGTCGTCAACAAGTTGACTACATGGCCAGCCAGACCTTCTGAGGCTTTGCCACCGGCTGTCAAATCTAATCGTAACAGCTGAAACAAAGAAGAGAGAGTTTAAATGTGAGTTTAGCAAAAGACAGTGTTACTAATCACGACATATCTGAATTTATTCTACCTTTCGGTATATGAGGGAGCAGCAGGCGACCCTGATCTTCATGCTCATGGTGAGCAGCCACAGCAGCATGGGATGGATCATGCTGGCGCTGATTGCCATGAACCTAAAACACATGTACAGAACTTGTTATGCTAGCTCTGAGACGATTGTCTCTGTTTCCTTGTAGTGACATCAAGTAAGATTTCTAGAGTTCATGTTCAACATTAAAATACAGAAACACATATTTAAGAATATATAAGTATGAATAAACATCACGATACATCAGTCGGACAATGCGACCGTGTTAAAAATTGAAAGAACAAATAATGTAAATATTTATTCAAATTCGATGTTTTTTGTAGATTTGCTACATTTATTCGATATTCAACGTTACTAGTACGCAATAAAGTTGAATTTCTATCGACTGGATAGATTTAATATTTTCGTTTTTTAAATTTTACTCGTTTACTCTTTCAGACTCTTACATTTTTGATGTAAGCAGGTCGAATTTTAATATATCTTGTGTGTTTTTGTTAATTTTACCCGAATTAGGATATAATATTTTTCTTTTTGAATCAAAATTGCAAAGATTTTGAAGCTATTGTTTAATTATCAATTATATTATAAATACAAAGAATATATTACAATTCATCCCAAATAACCTGTACATTGCTATTAAAATGTAAAATGTCTGCTTACCCCACAACCCCTAGGGCGTACAGATATGCCTCGTTGACCGTAACGCCCGCGTGTGACGGTGAAAAGTAATTGATAAGTCCTTCCAAACACATCGGTATTGATAACCTGCAAATATTATACATAACTTAATCAGTAGAAGTAACATAACTTGTTAACTTGTAACAAACTAAAAACATGGATATCTAGACAAGACGCTACTTGGATATAAAAGCATTTATTGCGTTCCGCAAAATTTACCAGTATTAACCGCTTACGAGCAGCGCTAAAATGGCAAAAATCTAACATAAAACACCCCATCTCTTGACCTGCCCAGTGAAATGCATAGAGGTCAGTGGTTTCACAACGCGTCCCAGTTCCCTAATGTAGGAACATCCTTCAAGAATTACAAACTAGCTATTTGTAACCACATTCATGCGTAAACTATTACTAGGCATAGAACACTAACTACATTTAAGTCGCTAAGCGCCCTTATTGTGGATTTACTGAAAATAACAGTGGTAGTGCCCGCTTTAACATCTTAGCAAGAATGGGCCGGCACGCCCGGTGTAATACCACGACCACACAGAAGACAGGCGTGAAGTGGATGCAATTCCGAGTTTCGTCTGATGAGTGTGGTGCCGGAGGCCTCATTTAAGTCCCTTTCTCTTTACCACCCTTTTCTTATAAGGAGAGGATGGGAACGGGAAGTGGATTTGACGGTAGAGGAGATGAATAAGAAGGGGAAATATCCTATTTGTGTGCGTCTCCTCCTCTGTCGGATAAGGGTAGGCAAGGCATCTGCAATTGCGGATGTCTATGGGCAGCGGTCGCTTCGCCATTTTGGCGGATTCAGGTAGCCGCTTGCTCGTTTGCCACCTTATGTTATAAAAAAAAAAAACTAATTGGCACTCATAGTGACAAATCTGTGTGTGTGTCAATAACTAAAAAATAATTTAGAAAATCCAATCTTACCTAATACTGGCATCTATAAACGCAAATATTAAATTTCCTATGATGAACTTTGTACCGTATATTTTCACTATAGTCCTTAACAATGACGGCTTTTTGTTTTTATCTGAAAATTAATATAAAACAGACTGCAATTACGGATGTCTATGAACAGGGGTCGCTTTTCGATGAATTATTTTAAATTTGTTTATAATTTACAGGGAAAAGAATTGCACATTCAGCATTCAGCGTAATTGTTATTTTGATTTATTGTTCATTGTATTGTAACAAGGACTAGCACAATGTACACATACGAATTAGGGCGGCAGGACCTAACCCTTTAATCGCTTACAGAAAGATAAAATAGTCAATTCTGACTACCATATCAAATGTATCAGCGATATATTTTTCTGGTTATATTTAATCATTACTAGCTTTCGCCCGTAACTCCGGCCGCGTGGAATAAAAAAACAAAAGTAAGTAGCAATGTGTTCTTCCAGATTATCCTCTACATCTATACCAAATTTCATCGAAATCTGTTCAACAGTTTAGGCTACAAACTCTAACAAACATCCATCTAAACTTTCGCATTTATAGTAGTATGAAATATGATTATTAGTAAATTTATTACCCTATCTGACCGTCGCAGGCCAACTAAATACTCAATAGTTACCTTGTTTTTGTTTTTCATATTTCCATTGCTCCGCCATAACATCGCCCCGCGGAGCCGCTCGATGTCCTGATGTACATCTGTCATCAATATATTTAGTATCAATGAATCATCAAAAAGAGATGTAAATATGAAAATAGAATAACACATGAAACGTAAATTACGGGATTCGAACCCAATACCTATAGATAACAAGTCAAGTACGCCATCGAAGCTCTCGATTATGTTAAATGTCTATATTGCTTTCTTATCTTAAAATTACCTGTATAGGTCTGATATACTTAGTTGTCCTTTACGGCCTTTTTCAAATATAGGCCGAGTGTACCTGGAAAAACATTTATTATTATAATATAAACTCGATAACATAGTTTTAAAAGACTTTTAAAAAACGTACCTGAAACGTTTTAACTCTATTGGACAATTTACAAATACTGAAACTAATTTTAAACAATTCGGTAAACTCTTAAAAGCTGGCAGGCAATTTGTCGTTTCGATGTTCGGCCGTCAAACCTTCAAATGCTCTTATTGTAAAGAGTAATACTAGGAGTTCTTACCAGTAACATAGCTTTGAGAAGATATTAGCAGTTTCCCGCGGGTTCTGCTTCCTTTCTATATCAAAATATCCGGGATCCATTCTAACTTATAATTAAGTACGGTCCCTGTGCGTACTTCGCCGTCTCAACTTCAAATAACTTCAAGTGTTTAAATAATTACTTGCTAACCCGCTGACATTTCAATCTGTAAAGAAAAAAAAATAATACAAAACTGACTACAAAGCTCTCTTTCTCTCATTTTTTACGTTATATCTACCGTCTCGCTCATGTAACGAAATGTCCCTAGATACTTTACAAGCTAATTATCTAAGACCGATTGAAAAACATTCAAATAAAGCGATAAAAAGGCCAATATGACCTTGATATCTAAAAATAATAGAGGCCTTACATATAATATTGAATATTTAATTACATAAAGCAGGCGAGCGTGAGAAAGTATTATCACGTTTAAAAACTCGACTCGAGGAAAAAGGTAATAAAAATAATGTTATAATCAAAACAATAAAAGAATCCGTATCCGTTTATGAGATTTTAATATATTTAGATAATTTTAATAAAATCACTTTGGCAATTTATAACAAAAGGTGTGGAAAATTTTTAGGTTATGTTTACCCGTTTCCATTTTTAAAAGGTCAATCAACTTAAGATTATTGTCTAGTGAAACTACAAACATCTAAAACAAAAGCGTTAGATAAATATCTTAATAAAACATTAGTAAAATCAGACAAAATGTAGGTCATTAAGCCGGTCTTATACAATGTACATAGTCGTATTTTTTATCTGTAATTTGTCCTCCTGACCCTAAAACTAGTGTAACAGTTAATGTCAACACACGCAAAGATCATCATTTCATACAGGTAAAGAGTCCAAGGTCATAACGATATGTCAAAAGTGCGTTGAAAAACTAATGAACGCAAAGGAATGAAAGGGTCATCGCGTATTGTATAGTATAGCACACGTTATACGCCAGAGGGCGCTTTTTATAAATGTAATTATCTCTACGCCAATAGCCTAATGGTTTAGGTAATGGACTACCAATCTTGCGGTCGAAGGTTCGAATCCCGCAGCTTAGTTGGAATGGTTGAAGGAAATATTAGTAAATTAACAAAAATCTACGAATATTAAAAAAAAATATAGAATGTTAGCAAATACTTAACTTACTAGCCTAACCTAAACTTATGATACTTTAGGCTATATATTATATAGAGTCATTTGAAAGAAAAACCTCTGAAAAAAGTACAAAAAAACTACAAACCAAACAAAAACAAGGTTGCTATGGTTACTTAAATTCTCTGCCAATATTAAGGGCCAACATTGCGATATATCATTTGAATTTGAACAGACTTTAACTAAAGAACACAGTTAAAACACCACAAAACTAATTCTAATCAAACAAACGATAAGCGACACATGCAAACCTACAGATGAGTCATTGACCTACATGTAACCGATGACCAGTTTACATAGACCCATTACACAAAGACATTATCTCAGCGTATAAGATCAGGTGCAATAGTTGGTTCTTAATCAGGCAATTAACCAGTGCTTTGAGAACTGATAACGTTTAGAGATCGTAATGGATCTGAACAACTTACATGTAAACAAATTAATTAACCGTATATAATATACATAATGGTTAGATCATTTACATTAAGGGCCTGTCCCACCACTGGCTGATAGATCCTCAGAAAGCTTAAAAATAACGTCACTAACAGATAAAGTAACAAAATCCGATATTTCCACCACATATTTTACAAATTGGATTGTAACCAGAAAATGTACTATTTGGTGGGACAGTCCCTTAGATTTTTATCCGATATACAAAAGGTTAATGGTTATCGCGTGTAGTTCTTTATGTGTCAATTTCGTTATTAAATGACTAAACTGGTTTGACGGATTTCAAATCGTATTATTTCCGAGACACCTAGGGTTAATCAGCCAGCTTTGTATTACGGTTAATTTTTATTTATTTAATGTATAGGCTTCTACAGAAATTTTATACAAGACGACGTACAAAGATTAAATAATACCATTGCTGGAGAAAATCATCATCATCATCAACTGCTCACTATTTTTCCCCTCTGAGAGGTTCGGAGACTCGGAGCCTATCCTAGGCCATGGTCAACTACGCTGGCTCACTGCGGGTTGACTTCACACATATCTTTGAATTTCTTCGCCGATATTTACAGGCATCACGATGTTTTCCTTCACCGTTAGAACGTCGGGTAAATTATGTACATATGAAAAATCGAAAATCACATTGGTACTGCGGGATTCGAACCCAAGACCTGTACATTACAAGTCAAGTGCTTAAACTCAGCCAAAGCCACTGAGCTAGAGAAAAAAAAACTTACAATCCTATTGTATTTTTAACGCGATTGAGGAAAACGTTTCATTGCGTATGAGAAATTGATTTTATCGCTCAAATCTATCTTTAAAGCACTTGTTAATTCGTTAGTAAATATTGAATCTTTCATATCTATGATAAACATACTAGAATACTACGACTAGCGAGTAACTTACACAATTTTCTTTCGTTAATTCAATATTAAACAAGTGACAATCTACTTTGTTTGCAACAAATCCTTACTACGAAACACATTTTCCTCTTGCACGAAATAATAGAATGGTTTTCCCCGCACTCGAGACCACATATTGCCACATAAAAGTCCATAGTAACTATTATGTCGACAAACATTTGGTGGTTAACTTACCATTTTTAGAATAACAACTGTCAACGTTAGCTTCACTTTTAGATACATTGTATATTTATATAATACACTAGCTTAGCTTGCGACTTCGTCCACAAGTAAGAAATAGAAAAAACTACATTATTCTGCGATAACGTAGCTTTTAACGGTGAATACGGCCCAATAATTTTTGAGTTATTTCAATACATACAAAAATACAAATATTTCCTCTTTATAATATTAAGTATAGAAGTATTGATAAACGTAAAAAAATAATTTATTACAATTTGAACATTTACTTTGTGTAATTCAGGAAATTTGAATCCGATTTTTATATGATTACATGAATATGTCATTTAACATACATAGTAAATATCATAAAAGTTTTACCTCTTATCAGAATAAACGTGTGTTTGTCTGTCCTCTGAACGTGATGTTATTTTTAATCACAACTAATACTTTGAAAACAATATTTGTTTATTTTCCTATTTGCTTTCTTGATACGATCCTATAATTTTCATGATATTTACAAGACAATTTTATTTACCGTTTATAAGCGAGAACGATAAAACATCTTTAAAACCTTTCTACTTTATTTGATGTTATTTTGCATCTCCATGTCGTTAAAGGCCTCCGAAAATAACTCGAGGCACGTCATATCGTAAGCGACACGCGAAAACAGACGTCACGGAGGACATTAGCAAGTTATGACGTCAGACATAAATTGAGCAGAAATTTCAACATAAAACATTACCCTACTTTGAACCTTTTTTTTACCAATGTCAGAAGCGAATCAAACTAATATTATAAATGCGAAAGTTTAGATGGATAGATGGATATTTATTAGTTTGTAGCCTAAACGGCTAAACGGATTTCGATTAAATTTAGCATGGATGTAGACGATAGTCTGGAAGAACACATAGGCTACTCACTTTTTTTTTTAATTACACGCGGACAGAGTAGTGGGCGAAAGAAGTATTAATATATATTCAACACAAGTCATATAATTGAAGTAAAGAAATGCTTTATTATTTTGCGGTACGTACGGCACAAAGCAAATGTTTGTTCAACGTATAGGTCATTTGGCGCACACCCTTGGGGTGCGGTCCCATTTTATTCGAGAATCGATTGATCAAGCGTTCAAAACGCGCCCCTATTTCACGTTATTTATAGCAAAATTAGGTTTTACAAACATAACAAAAAATCCTACATTTTCAGTTCTAGTAACAAAAATAATAATTCTCTTGCACGTCCGATCTCCTATGAAATAGAGAATGGTACACTCGAGTTTTTTATTTTATCAAAGTGCTTTATTACAAAGCGACCATCGCTTCATAAGTCTATAACCTAATACAAGTATATACACTCAATAATACCATTACAGTTCTGTACATAACATAGACGTAGTACATAACTAGCGATGATTTTCGCGTACAAATTGTCACGGATTTCCCCGCGCACGCGCACGCGCCCGCGCACCTTGGATAGTAACAACCTTCCCAAGCACAGTGTGCAGTATGGCGTCCGACAATATGACGTCATCAATAATAATTTTTTAGTAGTTTACCATCATACAATATCAAAACGTAAAAATTATATGTAGTCTGGACATTAATTAGGACTAGAAATTAAGATGACAAAACAATCCTACATAGTTAAAAACACCACCATCTTCCTTTTTATCTAACTCCTGTTATGTCGACGCAACAGGTTTTTGTCCTCCAAATATCTCTATCATACGTCATCTCAGTCATTACTCACTTGATCATGTCACCTTTCACGCAATCCATCTCTTTCTAGGTCTACCTCTACCGGTGTACCACACTCATAACTAACGTTCTCCTTGTAACATGCGATTCATCCTGTTTCATAATATGTCCATACCATACTAACCTTTTACTCCTTACCTTTACTTATCTCTAGTTAAATTAAACATACGTATTAAATTATAACTAACTAGCTGTTCCCGTGCGATTTCATCACCATAAAATTATTTTATTGTTTAGATATGTCAAATTGTCAATTGCAAATGTCAAAATGACATGACATGACAAAACTTGGCAATCTTGCATCCTTGATGTTGGCAGCAACTTATGGTCTCTTTCCCACATAAAGGTTTTTATCCAAAATATTTACCCCCTAAGTTTAATGGCGTGAAAATATATAGCCTTAAGCGTGACGTAAGTGTTGGGCTTTTTATTAAAGAGAGAATTATTCAAAAACATGCTGTGATTGCTGACATCTTAGGCAACAAAGAAGTGTGTGTTTACGCTTTATTATATTAGTATACAAGTATAGATATAGGAGTGATAGTAATTCTAAATTTAATTCCTTGACCATAATAAATTTTAACTTGTTTAAAGAACATCTTACTTTCTACAAGTACGAGTCCAAAGTACAAATCGAAAGTTACTCTACGTGATCGAGGTATCAAAGTTTACACATATTACGCTTTTTCAGTCTGGTAATAACATAATAACGACCTTGTCTGTCT